CCAGCCTGTCCAGACCCCTCTGCAGAGCTTTCCTACCTTCGCATTCCCCTTCGTCATTCGGACCTTCACTAACAAAATTCAGTCCACACTTCAAATTTCTCAAAAGAGAAAGAAATGGGATCAGTGCAGGCAGAATAAAACACACCAAGAATAATTCTACATGTTATTGTTTTCAAGATACTTAAGATACTGCTCTAAATCTGTTATAATCAGTTTATTAATAATAATAATAAAAATACTATCAGTTCTCCTGCCCAACTATCCTTAGCTACCAAAAAAGTTTCTCTCCATTTCCCAGACAGATTTTCTGATTCTTAAATTGAGCTTGTTACTCTCAAACCTCAATTCCTACATTGTCTTTCCTCAGGCAATCAAGGAAAGCCAGTTACCAACATGAAATATCAGTATCAATAAAAAGACATATCTTACCTGGGATTTCTTGCTCTCTTGCTCCTTTTTCTCCAGCTGGATTTGCAGCTTCTTCCTCTCCTGCTCGAGTTCCCTCACCCGCTTCTGTAGTTTTAGGAAGAGGGTCATGTCCATGGCGGCTTTCTCCATCCCAACCTCCTGGAGAAGAATAGGAGAGTGGAAAAAAAGAGACGACCTTAGTCAAGTTTTATAACCATGCACAGTACCAGATCAGCACCAACCCAACCACAGCCATTAACAGGAGCATTCCAAGAAAGGTACATATTTTTAAAGACCAAACCCCCATACAGTCATGGCCAGTAGTGCTAGGGATAACTGCCTGTAACAACACTGACCACTTTGATGATTTTTCATCAGTCTTTAAGCTAGTATGGCCAAAAGGCAATACTTTATTATATTTAGAGCCCTGTTTCAAAGAGGAGAAATGCCATGGTTAACCATGAGCCAGCAGTGTGCCCTCGTGGCCAAGAAGGCCAATGGTGTCCTGGGTGCATTAAGAAGAGTGTGGCCAGTAGGTCAAGGAAGGTTATCCTCCCCCCCTGCTCTGCCCTGGAGAGACCACATCTGGAATATGGTGTCCAGTTCTGGGCTCACCAGTTCAAGAAAGAGCAGGAA